AATTTAAATAAAATTAAAGTAATAATAAAGTAAATATAAAATTAAAGTAATAATAAAGTAAATATAAAAGTAATTATAAAGTAAATATAAAGTAAATTCATTATAAAGTAAATTCACTATTAATCAGGAGTGAACGAACAATTGCTCAGCTATGATTGCATTTTTTTGAAAAATAGTTCCTTTTTTAATAATATTGTTGATTCTGATACAAATTACAGTGTAATAGATGTTAGATATATTTTATAAAAACTGTTTATAAATTATTTTATAAAGAATATTTCTTGAAACCTAATGAAAATTCAATAATTTCCAAAATTAGTAGATTGAATTTTTGGATTGTGAAGAAAATTTCATTAAATAATTAATAATGAAAAATATTCAGTCTATTTCTTATTTAACTATTGCACACTTCTTGTCTGTTCATTAATATAAATATGTATTAAAATTCACAGCAATGTAAAGAAACAAACTGATGAAACCAATAACATTAGAAAATAATGAAAAATTTTCAATCCGTGTTTATTCACAGACCTCTTCGTCTTTTGCAAAATTCTTTCCTTATTAATATTCATCCATCAATAGAATTAATCAGTTAGAATTAAAATTAAAAATTAACCAAATTGAACATACACGATAACATGAAGAAACAAACAGATAAGATCAATGATATTAGAGAAAAAACGAGAAATTTTCAGTCTGTTTATTCTTCCTCGTCTGTTGTAAAATATTTGTTTCCTTATTAATGCTCATCCATAATTAGAAATTAACCAGAATGAACGTTCACAACAACATAAAGAAAGAGACCGATGAAGTCAATAACGTTGAAGAATAATGAAACAGTTTTCGATTTATTTATTCACAGTCTTCTTCGTTCTTGTTTCCTCATTAACATTCATCCATAACCAGAAGCTAATCAAAATAAACATGCACAACAACATAACGATGAAAGACCGTATAAGATCAATAATGTTAAAGGGTAATGAAAAAGTTTTCCATTTATTTATTCACTGTTCTTCCCTGTCTGTTGCGTGTGCGAATTCTTGTTTGCTCATTAACGCACGTTCACGAGCCGCGGACTGGTCGAAATGCACATTCAGAAAGGTATAGCTAGAATTTCAGTACATACCAGCCGATTTCCCTCACTCGTGCAACGTTCCGCAGCGATTCGCGCCAGGCTGGAAATCCTGTTAAATCAATACCCTAATTGACCGAGGCGACTCCGTGTGTAAACGCGCGTGAACGCGTACGCACGCCGTTTCACGTAATATTCAAGCAAGAAATCCTCGCGCCGGCTACGGAAACATAGTCAGCTGGCCATGATATCGCGAGCGTCACGGTTATCTCACGCTTGTTGTTGTTGTTGTTTCATTTATTTGCATAATAATCAATGCCGTCGTCGATAGACACGGAGCGGGAAGAAGACATCCGCTGCCTCATCTTCCGTGTTTCCTCTTGTATCCTACACTTCCCTATTCACGTTCACTCTCTATCCTCTCTCGCAGCGACAGCTTCGTTTCCAACAGAAAATTAAATTGTCATCCTCGTCTCTATTATTATACCTTACGTTTACTGCTCGTTTCAGTCATGATATTTTAAAAGTAATCACAATTTTTTGAATGATATATTTTAATTTTTAAAAATATATTAATTATATATTTATAAATATAATAATGATATAATAATATATTTTCATTTTTTAAAATAAATTCATAAATTTATCTGTCGCGAAGAATCGCGAGATGATAAATTCGTTTTCGTTGGGAGCAGATTCATTCTTATTTCCTCGGAGTTATCTCGATCAATTTAATTTATCATTTATTTAACGTCAATCAGCGTAGCTTTCGAACGCTTGGTCGCGTTGAATATATTTCATTTTGTCACGAGGAACGTTTGTTGTTGTCGTCTGACGATAAAATTCGCTGGAAAGTTGAAAATTCCTCGTTAGAGTTAGATGAAATAATAATAACGTAAGTGTAACGTGGAACGTATCTACTTACTAGAATTGACTCAGCCGCGGCGGGTTAATCGTAGAACAACATTCGAGACGTGTAAAATCAACTTGAAATTCCACTCTCTGACACAGCGGCAATATTTATCAACTTTAGCAAGAATCACTTTTTGTTCACCTCTGTATTTAGTGATTCTGAAAAATCACTGATACAGAGGAGAATGTAGTAGCAAACTCCTGCTAGATGAAACACAATTATGTAAACTGTACACGAGGACAGTAGAATCAGACTCTCTCTCTCTCTCTCTCGGTGCAAGCAGCTGGTGTGTCACAATTTGTCACGATCGGTACTTATTAATCGAGAGTAGATTTAATTGAATTTGAGCTATGAAGGCTCCACCCATCGCGAGACAAGAGAGCTTTCTCTCTCTCTCTCTCTCTCTCTCTCGGAGTGATCCATTGATTTTCCTCGCGACTACGCTCCACGTACCGACCCGGCTCGTCGGTGATATTACACGCCGCCATTGAATTCAGGTTAGCACACCGGGGGAACTCATAAGACGCGGACGCAAAAATTATGAATCCCGTGAAAGGTTTCTAGTACAAAGGCACGGCTGAACGGTCCAGTGCAATCGCACATTTCATTAAACCGTTACACTGTGACGAGTTCTTTCGTCCGGGCTTGTGTAGAAAGCCGGCTGAACGACGATTGTGTTCTAGCCGTATCATTTCGTTTCAGTGGCGGAACATCGTAAAAAATCAGGCCCGTCCTCCGTCAAGCTAGAAAATCGCGCCGTATTTCGCTTTCGGTTTCGATTCTGGAACAAGTAGTAGGAAAAAATTCAATAAACAACGAATGGTACGGTTCAAGTTTTTCAACTTAACATGGAACAATGAAATTTTAATGCAAGTTTAATGTAAGATTTCTAACATAGGCGATATTTGAGTTATACATGCGTATACACGTGATGATCAGTGTCTCGAAATTGGCATGGAATAACGTTTGTTTCATATTGTGAAATGTTATTAACTTTTTTAACAACTAATTTGAATTTGACATTAGTCAAATATTAATTTTTAATATGAAGGCGATAGTTGAGTTATCGAGGCTCCAATATCTTGAAATTCGATCTTACACTTGGTACAGAATAATTAAATTTGCGGTACCACCACCATTGTACTACGTCGCTAGACTTTAATATAAATGGTTGTCTAAGTTTCAAATATATATATATATATGAAATATCATTAATCTTTAGTGTAATAGAAATAACAAGAAAATATCGTATATTAAAGCAAGTTATGATGAAATTAAATTCCAAGACAGAAATTCCTCTCGAGAAGCACAGTCGTTAAGTATTTCGAAGGCTATTTTTCGATAAAAAGAAGTCCGTGAAAATCTAGATCAATGCATTAAAATCAACTTGACGGAAGAACTGAAACCATTACTACAGAAATTACTTGAAAATAAAATAAGAATTCCTTTAAATTCCGTGATAAAATCGTAGAAAATAAATCAATAAATGTCATACATTAACTACTTAATACGATAAGTTCATTTTTATTGATCTTTTAATTTAAATGTTAGTTGACAGCTAGAAAGATATTATTTTCGTATGAGGATTACATCAAATTAACTGGTAAAAAGAACTATCACATCCAAAGATACAAGCTTTTTGTAATAATCTACATTTTTTAACAAACCAGGAGCATAAAGTTACAAGTAAAGTAAATTTCTAAATTTTTCAGAAAAGCGACAACGATATTACATGTACATATTTACTCTCATAATCTAAATAAAAATAGAAAAATTGATTATATAGAATCTATGATTTATAACATACTAGGGACATAAAGTTACAACCAATAAACCTCTAAATTTTTCAAAAAAGCGACAACGATATTACACATACATATATACTATCATAATCTAAATAAAAATAGAAAAATTGATAATATAGTATCTATGATTTATAACATACTAGAGATATAAAGTTACAACCAGTAAACCTCTAAATTTTTGAGAAAAGTGACAAAGATCTTACACATATGTACGTATTTACTATCAAAATCTAATAAAACTAAAAAAAGTAGAAAAATAGATGTGAAATCGTTTGGCAACAGGTTCCAAATTCCAAAACGAAAAGTCAAAGTCGACAGTGAGAAAGCGAGAAGTCGCGGAGGGTGACGGCCGATTTCGCTCGATTTCTCGTATCGAGAGCGAAAATGTGACCTCGGCATGGTACTTTGGCACGATGCCAAGGCACGCGAGGAACGTGCGGCATTAGGCATGCTTATTAGCAACAGAAACCGAAGAGTGGCGGCCCCGCGTGTACGTGTCTTCACGCGTGCACCCATGTACCGTGAATAACCGTGAAACAGGCAATAACGCCAGTTATACAAATGTGTAACTCAGCCCGGAGATAACTAACAACACACGTGACCGCGTCCCGATGGGATTAGACGAAGAATTTCGCGATCTGTACCACTTGTAGCTGTTGCTCGCAGAATTTGTAACACACGTAAATTTATAACACACGTAACTCTCGCGCCTGTTCTTCTCTTTCTTTTTCTTTTTTTTCACGGAAGAATTCACGTACGTCGGTCTCGAGGTCGACGAGAAATGTCGATACACGACTGTCTCGTGCATTCCCGCGCGACGAAGAAACAGATGAGTCGAACAGGAAATTGGAAACACGCGAAGGATTGATATTCTATGTTCCAACAGTACAGTTGGTATCTGCTATTTGCGCAAGGTTTAGCTTCCACCTTGTGAAATTTCCAAAAGAAAGAGAGGAAGGTCGTTCGTTTTTGCAACGCTGATCTATTTGAGGATCTGACGAAATTGTCTGATGTCGTGGCGATCATTTCGTTTCATCGAAATGCGTGGTTTGCTGCAGTTACGAGGAACACGTTCTGTGTATTATTATTTAGAGAGAAGTTTCGTCGCGAGGTCCATCGATCTCGTGTGATTAAAATCGTATTTTCGCGTAAGCGCGATTTCAATTGTGAGCAACGCGTCTCTAATTTGCGCCTACGTTTCTGATTTCAGGGATCAGGATGCGGTGGATCGGTTACGTGGCCACAATTCTCTGGTGGTCGGGCATCGCCAGGTCCCTGAGCACGCTGAATCGAGGTCACAGTCAGTAATACAACTTTTGGTGGTTTTAAATGCGAGTATTTCAGTAGCCAGCGCATTCCTTTCCTCCGTGTCTCCTCGAGCCTTGATTTTCTTGGCTGGACCACTTCCTCGCGACCGAGTCTCTCTCTCTCTCTCTCTCTCTCTCTCTCTCTCTCTCTCTCGCGTACTTTCGAACCAGAACTGGCCACTAATTGGATTCGCTTCGTTTTGATGTTATGCTTGACATCCTGTGCATTTAGATCGTTCTCTCTCTCTTTTCTTCTGAACTAACTCCTGCGATTTCCAAGTTTTTTTTTTAATTATTATATATTATATACATATAAATTATATTATTATATATATAATATTATATTATTATATTATATTATAATATTATATATATAATAAAATTATTATATAATTTTATATATAATTATATATAAATTTTATTTATATGATTATATAAATATATAACGGCAAGTACTATAGAAACGCGAGTGACACATACATGATGTGTTATAGTTGTAGCAAGTCTTTCGGATGTTTGCGTTTTAACCTTCTGACAATATCAGCATAACAGTTTATTGTTAGCGTGGGACTCTATTCTATCTTTGTGTAATGATTTCCAAATAGAATACATTTTTATTTAATTTTCTTTTTTCAACTAATATCGCGAAGTCACAGATGACTACAGCGATTTATATTACATGTCGCAGAAATACATGCTTGAAATATTTCATTTTATTTTATTTTGTATCTCTGATAGAGACTGATCAAATTCAATATTCCGAACTTGAACAATAAGCGGGACCTAAATTTTTGCAACTGTCAGTGTTCAACGATATCAACCTCTAACTGGTATCGTTTACTTAAGTAAAAGTATTCAGTTCTGGTTGTGACTCTCGTTAAATGTTCTTTACTCTGTCTCTCTCTCTCTCTCTCTCTCTCTCTCTCTCTCTCTTTCTCTCTCTCTTCATTGAGATCTCCCTGAAATGTGTAACACCTAATTGGACAAGGAACTCGGTCAAGGTGCAGTCGGCCGTCTGCCTGACGATCGTGGGAAAAGAAAAGCGAACAAAAGGGGGCGACTTTCTTCTTTCCCTCGTGTCCTCTACGAACTTTCGAAGAGGTAGTACAAGCCTGGAAAAGCTTCTGTTTCTCATTAACCGTGCGCTACCACCACCGTGTAATACCGGGAAATCTCCTCGCTGACGATAAATTGCACAGCGGAAGAAAATTGCAACAGCATCTGAGCTGTTACACGGGGAACACGATCAATTCGCAGTATTTATTTTTGTTGATTTTCCTCGTTCGCTCGCAACATCAGCAGCAAATTAATATCTTCCGCTACCCTTCAGCTACGATGATAACGTAATAACATTCCCATCCCCCGTTTACCAACTGCATTATGTACACAGTCATAACGAACGCCAGCGTAATTACCTCGTCAGTGCCGTGCTACACGCCCCCGCGTTTCTAAACAACGAGCTTTAATATCCGCCTTTAATTACCAGCCCGGCACATTACAATGCAAAAAGGGACTGATCCTCTGTGGCAACCGCCGGCGGCACAGAAACCGATGTTCCCTTTAATATTTCCAGCAGACGAGCGAGCTTTCTCGCCACCCTTTTGCAATTCCACGGGGAGACGTTATCCCGATGGTCCGCGAACGATTGGATATAAACGACGGTGCAGCTTATAAAGTAAATTTCTTGACGAGAGGACTGAAGCATCGAAAGGGGAGGATTGTAGGTTGTGTTCTTCTTCGTTCTCTTTAAAATTTGAAGATAGTTTGGTTAGTGGCGTTAAAGTAGTGAAGATTTAGAAAATAAATGTTTGTCGTGTTTATTCGATATGTAGTTTTTTTTTTTAATGAATTTAATTTATATATGATGATAATTAATTAAATATTATTATTTTATTAATTTTATTGTATAAAAGAATTTATGGGATAAACTGTAAATTTGTTTATATTATATGATAATAATTATTTTTTAAATTATGATTTTAATATTAATTAATAATAGAAAAAAATTTTATAATTTGTTATTTTAATATCTAGAGATTATTAATTTATAATAAAGTATTGAAGATACTTGTCCTATTAGTTGTACTTTTGGGTTTTAGAACTCCGTTCCGATTTACTAATTTATTAATAATTTAATAATTTTTAGAAAGGGTTGCGTTCCTTTGAGTTTCTCATTTTAATCGTGTCTTTCTCTCATCATCTTTCGTTGTTCATCTCCAATTGAAATACCGTCCAATTCAAACTCTAAAATACCGAATGAAATCAAGTCCCCGCCTCTATCCAACAACTCAACTCTCCCTCCCGGGTAACTAGCCGCCATTCTTCAGATCTACGAGGACTACTAAGTCCTAGGTATTGGCCATTGTTCCTCCCCGCGAAGACGAACGAACGTCGATAAAGTTTTTCCTTTAATTAAGGCCGTAACGTGGTATATATCGGTGAAAGCGAGACCGTGAAGGTAGAAACCGCGACAATTTACGTCTCTTACGTTTACGCGCTCTTACCGTGCCCGTTAACGACCTGGCCCAGGTTCCACGTACTCTCGTACACCTCGACCATCCATCGCGTACTTTTTCCTTTTCGTTCTTTTTCTCCCCCAATTTTTCTTTTTTTTTTCTTCTTTTTCTTTTTTCTCCTTTTTTCCTTTCTTCTCGCGCGATTACGAGCACCCCACCGCGCACTTTCACCAACCCGAACGAAAGATTCTATCGAAGGTTGCGCGGCTGGGGGACGTTAACGACGCTCCAATTACCGAACTCGATCGTCTCTCGAGCCAGGGTACCCCGTTAATTAGCGATCCGCCCGAAATCCAACGGGGAATCGCGCAGTGTTGGAGGAGCCATCGATCCGACGGGGTTATTCCTCGAACGAGAGAAACGATTATTCCCCGAACAACGCGACCTCGCGGGTCCCAGGATGCCTCCTCCGTTAATTACAGAGAGCTGCGTCGATACGATGTTTAAAGAGTTTTAAACGGTCGCTCATCACGCACCCGCGATGTGGGTCAACGCGGGGAATCGTTAAAAAGCTTCGTGCAACGTTGCTCGACGCCGAGGAAACAAGCGTCGATTGAATTCGTGAGCAAGTTTCGTTGATATCGCGATCGTTACGGCGCGTTAACCCCTCAAGCGTATGGCAAGCGTATTATCGCAAGCGTATGCCTTGCAGGAAAATTGAATTTTTCTCTTCTTTCTTTTTCTTTCTTTTCGCTGTTTCGAAAAGTACTTTCGAAAATATTTCTACTTGCTTGAATGAAGCCTTGAAGAATCCGAAATTTGTAAAATAACGGGATTCCTTTGAGAAAAAAGGTTAACGACGTTTATACCAGGTTTCTTCTCCGTTTGTTCTCCTTCGTCGAAATTTTATGACATTCTGGTTATTAAAAGAGTTGAGTTGCAGCAACAAGATTTTATGACTTTGCAGTCGTAACTTTCAAGGATTCAAATTGACAAGTAAGAAAAGCGTTTTGAAGATATTCAAAAAGCATCCTGAATGGTATATAATAATATAATAATATGGAAATTGATCGTTCGAACGTAATAATACATTTTTCGAAGAAAGTTACTTGTACTTTGTCATTCTTAAAATGCTCCGTTATTTTTCAAGCAAACTTAAGTCAAATGTCTTTCAAAATAAGGAATAAAAATTTTCTTCGAAGAAATTTACTAAATTTAGCGATTCTACTTTTAAAATCGATTTATTTACACGTGTATTGGGCCATTTTTATTCTTCGCGATTGGGATAATTTTTAACCTTCGTGACGTTTCGAAAAATGACGTATGAGAATCTATCGCTATTGTGCTGATGCCATTTAGTCTACGAAAGGAATCACGTTACTTCTTCTTCTGACATCTGATACGAATTAATCTATAGAAACTCGACAGAATGGTCGATGAACTAGTCATCGGACGTTTGAAACAATACATCGTCTATCTACCTCCGCCTATTTCGTATCCTTTCGCGTTCACCCTAGAATTCGCAGTTCGCTAAAATGGAACATTATGATCGGATAACGTGGAGTGACAGGATGATGGAAATTTCGAGGGTATCTTGATGTATTCAGCTTCAACTAGCTTTAATCGTTTTCAAACGCTTCGTAACTGTTTCGAATGCCAAGCCCGGAACGGAACTTCGAAAAGGCGAAATACGTGACGTTTAAGTCGATAACACAGGCTGGATTAACACGAGGGGCTTTTAAGCGCAACGATGGCCTTTCAAAATACCTCGAAGCTTAGTAGTAGAACTTTCTAAATCCATTAGGGATCGAACAATAATTTGTCATAACGTTATAATATACTTGAATTGAAAAATCGAGTTTGATTAGATTAATTGACCGAGTTTTTCGAAGCTCATAATTAACTCTTCAGGATGACGTTTCATATAAGTATTAAGTTTTATTAAGTACATCAATTGTATAAAAATAAAATCAAGTGTAAAATATAAGACATTTTATGAAGCGCATAAATCTAATGATTATTTATATAATTAGTAAATAATATTATTAATTTTAATTTGAAATTGTCAAAAAATTTAAGTCATCGATATTGGGCATCATCGCTGAAGGCTTTTGTTGCTTCAACGCAACATTTTGCTTTTCACTAGTTTCGATCAATTCACGCTATGAAATTCAACTTTTTAATAGGTTAATTGAAACTTTAAAGTATGAAAGGAAATTCCAAAAATTTGCAATACTCAATATATTGTTTCATCTTCCGCTCAGAGTTCGTAATTTTATAAATCTTCTACAATGTTATTATATTACAACACTATACTTGTTACTTGTATTATTTGTCATTTATGTCGCTTTATATTATTTATATTATTACTTCATCCCCCTAATCGGACAAGGACAAAGTAGAACTTTGGAAGAAATTGACATTTTGACGCCCTATCCATTATGACGTGTGACACGCAGGTTACAAAATCACGCCGAAGCCCTGTCGAGTCCCCGGGCCAGAGTCGAAAGAAGGCACGTGCATGTTCGTGTGGGAGTGCATCAAATCGGAGGGCACGCACGTGGGCGTGTGCGTGGACACGTTCATGTTCGGCAGCTGCTGCGTGCACAATACGACGACGAACGCGATCACCGCGTCCAATCTTCATCAACAGCATCACCACCACCAACACCATTACCATCAGCAGCACGGCGCGTCCTCTTCGTCCGGCCCGTTGAGGCCGACCCTGGCGGAGGCGCTGGGCAACGAGTCGACCAGGCCCACGTTGACCTCCCTCTCCAGCTTCCTCGTCACGGACACGAGCACCGCCAGGCCGAGTCACCATCCATCCGAGACGCTCGACTCTTCCGGAGGGTCCAGCAGACCGCACAAACCGCTCTCGGCCGGTTCCGCTAGGCCGCTGCAGAAACGACCGCACGCGAAACCGACGTCCGATCACAAGGACAGGATTCAAACGTCGGTGGTTCCTGGTGGCTCGTCGAATTTCTGGGAGAAGGGCACCCAGAGCACCAAGAGGCCCGCGTCCGGTGGATCCGTGAATCTTTGGGAGAAGGGATCTCAGAATACGAAAAGACCGAGTTCTCAGAGTACGAAGAGGCCCGCTGCGAGTGTTTCCTGGGAGGATAATGGTCAGAACACGAAGAGACCTTCCGGCCATCATGACTCGTCGAACGTTCAGAAGACGAGGCCGGAAAACGGCCAGCACGCGGGCGTCAAAGAGAAGGACACGACGCACGAGAGTTTTCAGAGTCATCATCAGGGGTTCAAGGATAAGGTTGAGAGCGGGCACAATACGTTGGTGGTTAGATTACCGGGGAAGGAGCATGCTTCTAGCGAGAAGGAGAGTATAAGGCCCAACAGGCCTAATAGCCAAAGACCGTCCGAGTCGAGACCGGATGACAGCAAGACCGAAGAGGATGCCGATTTGAGCGTGCAGGAGTCGATACACAGACCTAGCGTTAACTCGGTTGACGAAAACGTGAGTATTTGAATTTTGTTTGATATTCCTGAGTTGAGTTGGCAATATTGCAAGTTAACAGAGATCCTCTTACGCGACAGAGTAGCAAATTAACAAATTTTGAGCGACGTTCAATAGTGGTTTATTTCTCTCTGATCAGGAACCTGTCAAGGACCCTCATCCAAGCTTCAACTTCATTCATACGGAACGTCCGCAGTGGGCGACCAAACCAGTATCCCCGAAGCCAACGACAGACTTTTCGAAACCGTACTTCTCCATCAAAACGACCACGTATCGACCGATTCCGATGAACGACCAACCAGATACCAGGCCGAACTTCGTCTCGAAACCCAATAGTTCCGGCACGGTTATGAAAACCTCGACCACTGCCAGACCGACACACTTCAATGGACAGTCCACCACCAGGTATTCGACTATGTCCTTGCGTTACACTTACCTTTGCCTTTGCTTGAAACTTTAGATCAAAATTTTGTCCGCATCATTTCGTTTGTTCAAAGAAACCTTGTGTTTTATTCGTTATTTATGCAGAAGGATTTGTTGGCAGAAGGATTTTTACAATTTTTCACAATCTTTCATTAGTGCATACATCAAGTACATTAAAAACATTAAAATTCACGTTCTGAAGAATTCACTATTCAATGTTTAGGAGCGCAGAAGACTCGTTGTACTTGAGGTATCACACAGCAATATTTCAAGACGCGAAAACATAAATTTTCCCATTGCAAGCGTAACTTCACCCACCGCCTCGTCAAATAAATCAATTTTATCATTTTTACCGCGTTTCTTCCACCGAGTCCAAACTCAATTAACGTCCAACGTTCCTATTTGTATCAACTTACACGGTAATTAATGGGGGCAATCAAGCGAAACGAAGGTTTTTCGAGCGCCAGCTTCAAGCTTTTCTTTCATTCTAGCGCAGCCGGATCCTTGCCACAGACCTCTCACTGGCACGTGACCACAGAGCCGGTGTTCGTCACAAAACAAAGACCGTCGTCGTCCACAAAGCCGATGGGCTCGCTCGAAACAACGAAACCTTTGACCAGCAGCTCGCATTTCTGGTCGGAGAACAGTTGGACACCGCCGAGGCCGTCCTTGAAACCGCACTGGACCGACAACCCCAGCCTCCTTCAGAACGGGCCCGAAGCATTTCCGCCGCGGCCGAGTTTCAAACCGACCGAACCGCAAGAAGTACGTGCAGACGTTCGTTCATCAGTTTGTTTAACTTTCGAACGCTCGTAACGCTCCGTTACATTGACTGGGCCGTTTATTTCAAGGAAATTTTAATTTTAAATATTTATATATATATATATTAATCGAGAGCTTCTGAATGACAGTTTAACTAAAATTAATCATTATTTGTATGGTTCGGATATCTTTGACAAATATCGCGTCTTTCTTGAATACTGCAGGTTGGTAAATATTTTATTTCACGGTATGGTAAATATTTCATGGAAATAAAATGCTCCCATTTATATAGTAAATAAAGTACTTATTTGAGGAGTGAAGAAAATTATTGTTTACGCTCAATTAAGTTAAATTGTCACAAAAATATGAATTACATATAAATATATATAAATAAGAATTTATATATGTATATATATATAAGAAAGAAATATAAGAATTATATAAATTATATAATTTATATATATATATAAATTTATATAAAAAATAAATGTAGCATAAATAAATAAATATAGGAATTTATATATATATATAAAAATAGGAATTTGTATGAAAATTCATGATCTATCAACAGCAGTACATTCATATAAGATTCATCATAATGAAATTTCTACAATCGTTCGAATAACTGCTCACTAAGCATAGTAGTTGACTGATAATTTGCTTCGTTATCCTCATGGTTCCTGGAATTGAAATCACATACATAGTAATCTTCTGCTATTACAGAGTAAAGTATTGATCATTGAAAGAATTAACGAATCATTTTCCATGTCGCTTTGATTTATAATATTTCTTGAAAGTCAACTTTAAATCAAAATTAGTTACTTTTTCGCTTTTACAAATTTAGGTGCAATTAGGTTCCATGAAATTGTTTGTAACAACAGTCCACAGTTTTCATATTTCTCTGGAGAAAAAAAAAATCACGAGAAAAATTAATCAAATTTTAAATTAACCATCAGCGTCAACCGATTGAAATAAACAAATTAGCCCCGCGAAGGATTAATAATTTCACCCAGCCTCTCTCTTCTTCGATAATTGTTCAAATAAGATCTTTATCCGTGGGCAATTAACAGACCACTGCAGAGATAGATCAATTCCACGTTTTCATAATAATAAGGGCATAATAGTAATTTTATCCAGTGTATATCTCTCTTGAGATAACTATTCGCATAAGATCTGAACCCCAGTGAGGCCAATTAGCAAAGCACCACTGTACACACATGATAGATCATTTCGTTATAATTTCACGTGCCCGTGAAATCTCATGGATTTCTCGAATAACTGACGGATCTTTAGCTCGCGCCGCTGGTCATAATCACGAACGCCTCTTCCCTGTACGAAAGATATAATGCTTCCGCGTCTTATCTAGAAATTGGTTCCCCTCGAAGGAACAGCTTCATCGTGTTATATCCTCGATCAACAGCGTACTCTCCATACCCCGCGGTGCTGTTAGATTCTATCGGTGTTGGTCGTAGGAAAAACACCGTTTTTCGCCGGGCGAAAGAAGAAAACGCAGCGTATCGCGGACTTTTTGCTAGAGATTACTGTTAATCGCAACAAAAGAAACGGCAAGGATCGGTCTTCGGCTCGATTACACAGTCGATTGAACACCGTGATACGAATAACTCTATCCATCACCTGGCCGATTCGCGTCGAGTTGGCCGAGAAATTGACAGCGAAGTTTAGAAATATCTCGTCTTGTATGAAAATGTATCGCTTGCAAAAAATTTAAGAAATATATTTCTATTTTATCTGTGGTACTTGGGGGAGAAATGCTCGCGTTCGCTTCGTTTAAAGAAAAAGGGATAAATTCGAAATCCTTCAGTCCATCCAGTCCACTTTGTGTTATCCGTAGCTGTTTCTTTCCTTTTGCGCAGAACACGGAGCTCCACAAACCACTTGGCGCTGCGCATTACATCACCACTTCCCACTTCGAGACGTCTGCTAGGCCTAGACCCACGAAGAAAACCACCACGTCTACGACGACCACTACCAGCACCACTACGACCACCACCACTACCAGCACCACTACGACCACCACTACTACCAGCACCACTACGACCACTCCAAAACCTGAGACGACGACGACAGCGTCGTCAACGACCGAGACGATCGCGAAAACTGGATCGGTGTTGACCGTGTCTGCCGCAACCGAGAGCAAGGGTATGCAATGCGGGGTACCGCCCCTGTTCCCGAGACCGGAGACCAGGATAGTTGGAGGCAAGGACGCGCCGTTCGGTCGATGGCCTTGGCAGGTATCTGTTAGGCGTACCTCGTTCTTCGGATTCTCCAGCACTCACAGATGCGGAGGAGCGGTGCTCAATGAGAACTGGATCGCCACCGCTGGACACTGCGTGGACGAGTGAGTAAAAGCTCTTTTTGGTGACATTGATTATTCAAATATTTCGCAACGTTGATTGTCAATCGTTCAGTTATTGTTCAGTTTGAATATTAATTATTAATTATTCAAATATTCTCGCGAATCGTTGCTGGTTTCTTATTGGAACGAACGCCACGAATTTTCCGATTTTTCAATTTTTGATGTTATTTGGTAATTTTAGTATTATACGTGGTATAATTGGTATTTCTTTTATACTATATACGTATATAGTATTTAGTATTAGTATTAGTTATAGTTATAGTATATAGTATTTAGTATTTGTATTTCTTTTATACTATATACGTATATAGTATTTAGTATTAGTATTAGTTATAGTTATAGTATATAGTATTTAGTATTGGTATTTCTTTGATACTATATACGTATGTAGTATTTAGTATTAGTATATACAGTGGGGTGCAAAATTGAGTCAATAATAAAAATTTTTGAGAAAAATATTTTTGATTGTTAAATAAAGTATAAAAACATGAAAATAAACTTGAATATCTGATTCTTTATAGTTTTAGGAAACTGAAACTTTTAGGAAATTAGGAAACTTTTACGTTTTTATACTTTCTTTAGCAATAAAAAATATTTTTCTGAAAAAATTTTATTATTGACTCAATTTTGCACCCCACTGTATATATATATATATATATATATATATATATATATATATATATATATATAGTATTAGTTATAATTATAGTATATAGTATTTAGTATTATAGTATTAGTTATAGTATATAGTATTTAGTATTAGTATATATATATAGTATTAGCTATATTTATAGTATATAGTATTTAGTATTAGTTATAGTTATAGTATATAGTATTTAGTATTGGTATTTCTTTTATACTATATACATTTCTAGTATTACGTGTCTTTGAATGCACATTGTACATGTATTTTAGTACGATATTTATGAATATTTAGCACGAGGATATTTCTTTTTCACTTCGAGATGAATTCGAATTTCTTGCTTCTCTTGAAAATCTCGCTTGGTTCGTATCGCGTTTTTTTGAAAACCAGTAAAAAGCATTCGAATTTATGCTAAATATCAGTGGATACCTCGATATTTATGGCTGGCACTACATGTACGGTTACTCGTAGCCAGTGATGGTAAATTCACCCATCGACTTCCTATATTATCTGAGATCTTGAAGTCACCAACGAGTTACTGGCTCTTTACGTTGGTTAGAAATCTTACAGCGTGTAGAATGCATATATGAGTAGGCGATGTAGCACTAATAAATAGCCTAGTACAAACATTCTGCATACGTGCTTCGTCGTGAACGTGTTAATAATGTGTTTCATTCGTGGTTTGCTGGTAGACTCGTTAGTAAAACTACCCAGCAAACTCGTGTCGTAGATGATAGTATGATCGGTGATAGTATACGTAAGCGATACAGCGAGATCGTAAAATTAATGAGGAATCAGAGTGAAAGACCAAAATGGATAACTGAAACTATTTTAGGAAATACAAAATGCTCGTTCGAAGTCATGTCAGAAGATATCAATTTAGAATTGGAATAGTCCTTCTTCTTTTTCTACCGATTGCTTGTATTTCAAGCATCTTGTCTTCTTGTATGAAAAAAATTTAATCGCAACTTATTTCTGATTTTTCCGATTTTATAGCACGAGATTAACTTCTAATCTCTAACTTGTTATATACATACGCATATGACAATGTACACTATACAGGATCTTTTTTAAGATCTCGTTTGTAGAATCCTGTTAAAATAATTTAGAGAACGTACGAACTTCGAAACTATCAAATTCAAAAGATTCAAAAGTCTTCGAACAGCGAGTATAAAATAGTTGTCGCGATGATGATAATCCAACGAAAAGCCTCCCAAAGGTATAGCGTGTTCGTCAAAAAATTCCGATAAAAAAGCAAGAAGAAAAGATGATCGAAGAGCGTTGATCACGGGAGGAGAAGCGCGATCGAAGTACATAATTGCTTCCTGTTACGATTACGTGAGTGAATGCAAATGTGGCCGGCCTCTGGCCGATAGATGGAGAATGAACCTCGATTAACCCGAATACAGATCGCGGAACAGCTTCTTCCACTTCTTCTACGCTTCGTTAGAACGCAAAACGAAGCAAATCATCGTTATCGATTCTGTTGCAGCCTGCTGACCTCGCAGATCCGGATCAGAGTGGGCGAGTACGATTTTTCATCGGTGCAGGAACGACTGCCTTACGTGGAGCGTGGAGTCGCGAAGAAAGTGGTCCACCCCAAGTACAACTTCTTCACTTACGAGTACGATCTGGCGTTGGTCCGTTTGGAGAGCTCGTTGACGTTCGCGCCGCATATTTCACCGATTTGTTTGCCAGCGACTGACGATCTCTTGATCGGCGAGAATGCAACAGTCACCGGCTGGGGAAGGCTCAGCGAGGGTGGTACATTACCCTCTGTGTTGCAAGAGGTAAAGCTGCGTGAAAGTTTTTCCCAGTGTTCTTTCAATTTCTCGTCTTTACTTCTGTCTACACTTTTGTTTCTCTGCTGTTTATTTGTATTATTATTATAATTACTATTATTTGTATCATTATTATTATTATTATTATTATTATTATTATTACTATTATTTGTATTATTATTATTATTATTATTATATTATTTATTTGTATTGGAATCTTTCAGTCTTTCAGTTTTCTTTTTTTTTCTCTCTCTTCTTTTTCGGAGGGGGGAGCTCGTATATTTGCTCTTCTCGTTATTCTACTCGCTCCAACTCCGCCTAATCGACTCCAAAATTATGTGAAAATTATTGAGCTTCAGTTGCGACAATTGAAAGGCTTGGATACGTTTGAACAATTGAGCAATTGTAATTATAGATTGTGAATTTTTAACACTTAGAGCTACTTAGATGGTTAAAACATAAAATTTCCATTCGGAGACGTCAAAGTCAAAAAAATAGAGAAATTTTCTAATAATACAATATAGAGGAGCTTTCATTTATATATTTTAGAAAAAATTATTTAAATCTTTAAGAATACAGTATTGTTACGTCTGTAAAATATCTAACAGGAATTATAAATTGGTCATTTTGACCACTTTGGTGATTCTAGCGTTAAGCAAAGTATAGTAGAACCTGTGTGAACCTAGAATATTTTCATATTCCAATATCATCAGAATGCTCGCAATGATGAATGTCAGCGATTAGAAGATCATCTACTACTAGCATATTATATTTGATATAATCCTCGAATATTGAAACGTTCGAGAGGTAAAATAGGCCTTGTTAATACAATTAAGAAAATGGAACTTGTCTCTACGATTCTCGAATTTTTTATTTTATTTTTCTTTTCGAATCTCGAGTGAAAAGAAAGAGTTAATTTAATCTCGAGAAGATGTATACACGAATTTTCTGACGTTGAAAAAGACAACGATAGAAAGAATTCAATTGGAAATGATTCAAAGAACGAGGTCTTCTTCATTCTATTATATAAACTAGTTCAGTTTCGTAAATGAAATTATAATAAAATGAAATTATAATAAAATGTCCGACAGTCTGCTTGTAATTAATAATTTATGGATAGATGTGAGAATGTTAATTTAAAAAACGATTGGATATCTGTTGCAGGTTTCCGTGCCCATAGTGAGTAACGATAGATGTAAGTCAATGTTCCTGAGGGCTGGGAGACACGAGTTCATACCGGATATCTTCCTGTGCGCCGGATACGAGAGTGGAGGCCAAGATTCTTGTCAGGTACATTATTCTACACTATACGTATTCTATCATTTATTCTTTTCTTCTTAATATATATTTCTTTTTAATATAATATATTATATTATTTAAGAGCCTTTCTTCTTAATATAATATATATATTTTTTATATATATATAATATTATTTGAGAGCTTTAAATTAATATAATATATATATTTTTTATATATATAATACTATTTAAGAGCTTTTCTTTTTAATATAATATATATATATATATATATATTTTATTGTCCAAAGTTGAGAAGAACTTCAAATTACTTATGATAATTAATGTAACAATATTTATTGATAATAACTAGTAATTATGTAGTTTTATAATGTTTTAAAGTAAAAGAAACAAACGCTCGTTAAATTTCTAAGCTTCGGAACGGCGTTTCGCGTAAAATTTTCAGGGCGATTCGGGTGGTCCTCTTCAAGTACGTGGAAAAGACGGTCGATACTTCCTCGCTGGCATCATATCCTGGGGAATCGGTTGCGCGGAGGCCAATCTACCCGGCGTTTGCACGAGGATCTCCAAGTTCGTCCCATGGATCCTGAAGAACGTCACTTGACCCGATTTCCAAGTAATCGTTTGCCACAGGACCTGGTCGACAGCTTGTTGACGAACCGAACTGTTCGAATGAGCGCGCATTCCCAAACGTAAAACTGCACGTTTCATCGATTTCTTAACCGAATGGTGGTAACAAGGAGATCGCACGAATCACTGCCAAAAAAGAAAAGAAGAAGAAACGCAAGACTTGCCGCAAGAAAACGAGACTCGAGCAGAAAGTTTCTCGTTTGTCTTTGAAAGCGAAAAGAAAAAAAAAAAAGAAAAATAAGCGAGCAAGCAAGAAAGAGGCGAACGGACGGTGGAGAAGAAAAGAGAGAAGTTTGAGAAACTTCCATCGCGAAGACTGTTGCTCGAAAAGCGAAGCCAATCAAACACAGAGACCACGCGAGATCGTGGAGGTCGTTCGTTGTCGAACGATAAGAAGAAAAAACTCGCGCGCCTAGTGCTGTATTTATATATAAATATAAATTCGAGTAAGATAATAATATATTTCTCGCCGAGCGAACGCGAGCTGTACGCTCGTCTGTCAGTTTTTGCAACTAGCCTGTACATGGATATATAAAAAGAAGAGAATTTAAGTGAAGGAATAGTTAATGGCTTGACGTTGAAAACGCTGGGGGGGGGGGGGAAAAAAAAAAAAAAAAAAAAAATGGAACGATGCGTCTGTCTAAAATTCATGGACAAACAAGTACCTTAATCGACAGCCAAGGTCCCTGCTCCGTGCGAGGAAAAAAAGTAGGTGAAACGACATGCTCTAGCCCGTTGCTAATTATCAGATTATGAGCAATCGTAATCGAAGGTGACAGGGTACAAGGTTCCTCGCCTAAAAAAAGAACTACGACCTAGTTTAAAAATCTCCAATCTATCGTTCCCATTGAAAAAAAACTTCTCACCAATTTTTCCCATCATTTTTCTCTTCAGATTAAATCGTTCCAGGTAATAATAATCGAGGGCGAAATTTTTGTCGTATTTTCATTCTAATAAAGATATTTCCATAAAAATATTTTATATATTAAATATTTTCATAAAAATATTTTATGTATTATACAGTTTCATAAAAATATTTTATGTATTATATAGTTTCATAAAAATATTTTATATGTTAAATATTTTCATAAAATATATATTTTATATATATATATGTATTATATAGTTTTATAAAAATATTTTATATGTTAAATATTTTCATATATATTTTTACAAAAATATTTATTTTTATTTTAATAAAGATATTTTCATAAAAATATTTTATATATTATATATTTTCATAAGAATATTTTATATATTAAATATTTTCACAAAAATATTTATTTTTATTTTAATAAGAATATTTTATATATTCGTTTTTTTATATCCTTAAAAACTCTTTGAATATTCTTCGAAGAACAGAGTTTCCAAGAATGTTTTTTAGATAAGTCGTTTGTCTATTGACTCGGATCAACTCTGATTATGTATTATAATTCGGGATAACGAGACAGGTTGTCTGTTGGTCGAAGTTTTCAAAACTTAAAACTTAAAATCCCGTGGACGGGAGAGCATGAGCCGAGAAGAGATCGCTCGAGAATTCCCCTCGCGTTGTTCGACCAGTTGCGCGATCTAGGGACTGGTTGGCGTTCTAAAAAGTTGATCCGATCCATCGTGTTTCCTTTTTCAAACTATTTCGCTCACTCGCTCAGATATAATTCAATTTTAACTTTCAAAACTACTATACTATTTCCTTGCCATTTATTTTTCTGAACGTTCCATTCATATATATCAAAAGTCAATGACTATAGCGTCGTTCATTTCTGTCAAGCTACGACCAGAAATTTTTCGTTCCTTCATTGACCTTCAAATTCGGAGCAGAATGGCCCCAATTTGACAAAGTGTCCTGCACAAATCCATCTTCAAGTTCCGAGAGTACTCCAAAATTTACAAAATTCCCTCCTCCCTCTCTCGAATCGAGATCAAACAGTCATCTTCGCACGACTTCTGCTAACCTCGGTCCATTTTCCCAAACCGCGTTCCCCTTCGAAGCTGTTCGCAACAGAGGTAATCAGCCGAGGTAATCAATTCATTATCGAATCGATGCAATTAAGGACGACTATTATCGGCGAGTGATCTTTATCGTTCAACGGCATTGTAATTAACATCGAGCGATGATGGCTTTAATCTTGGCGAGATGTTTGTGTTTCCCTGATCGATTATGGCGTTGGCAGACCGTGGATACAACACGCAGAAACGACAGAAAAGAAAAAAAGTCCCTCCCCCTCCCACTCTGGTTCACGAGATAATTCGAGAAAATCAACGAAAGTGAACTTGTGTCGAGAAATATGTATAATAATCGATTGCTTCGATTTATTTTTGATTGGCCAGGTCAATGTTTCATTATTTAATGTCGAAATTCATATATTGGTGGTCTATCAGGTCAATGATTGATTGTTTGTGGAAATTTGTATGATGGTCGTTTTAATAATAATAATAATAATAATAATAATCGTTAATTAATAATAATAAATCTTTGTAGTCTTAATAACAATTACAAATTAATAATAATAGATCTAATAATAAAATAAAATGAAATTAATAATAATAGATCATTGTAACCTTAATAATAATTACAAATTAATAATAATAAATCTTTCTAATCTTAATAATAATTACAAATTAATAATAATAGATCTAATAATAAAATAAAATTAAAATAAAATAAAATAGATTAATAATAAAATAAAATTAATAATAATAGATCTTTGTAGTCTTAATAATAATTACAAATTAACAATAATACATATAATAATAAAATAAAATTAAAATAAAATAAAATAAAATAGATTAATAATAAAATAAAATTAATATTAGAGTTTTGTAGTCTTAATAATAATTACAAATTAATAATAATAGATCTAATAATAAAATAAAATTAAAATAAAATAAAATAGATTAATAATAAAATAAAATTAATAATAATAGATCTTTGTAGTCTTAACAATAATTACAAATTAATAATAATACATAATTACAAATTAATAATAATAAAATAAAATTAAAATAAAATAAAATAAAATTAAAATAAAATAATAATTACAAATTAATAATAATACATCTAATAATAAAATAAAATTAAAATAAAATAGATTAATAATAAAATAAAATTAATATTAGAGTTTTGTAGTCTTAATAATAATTACAAATTAATAATAATAGATCTAATAATAAAATAAAATTAAAATAAAATAAAATACATTAATAATAAAATAAAATTAATAATAATAGATCTTTGTAGCCTCAATAATAATTACAAATTAATAATAATAAATCTTTGTAGTCTTAATAATAATTACAAATTAATAATAATACATCTAATAATAAAATTAAATTAAAATAAAATAGATTAATAATAAAATAAAATTAATAATAATAGATCTTTGTATTTTCGAACAGGGAATCTGTACATTTGTTTTTCTTTCAAATTTGAATGTCAACGCTGCCTCTTTGTTACTAGACGCAAGTATTCTGAACGGTAACCCATGTAAAGGTTCGATATTAAATTAGTATTGTTTCATATAAACTTGCATACCATGTATGTGCGTATTTTACGCTTTTAAAGGTCCACAATCTAATAATCAAATAAATTTCTATCATCTTTCCTCCGCAAATCTCATCGAATTGCGATTATTATAATCTTTTTCCCTTTACGCTCTGAAATTAAAATAAAATCGGGCTGTTATAATGGCATTTATGCGGCGCAAGTTCAAATGCAAAATGGCGAGCAAAAGTATGAAACGTAGCCAAAAGTGCATTCTCATCTGTAAAATATTACAACGAGTGTATTATAACCGAGACGTTTTGCATAATTTTGCATATTACGTGTATTCTGTGTGACCTTTGAACTTTTAAATTTCCAATATAAATGCATAAGCATTCAGAATCGGAAATATGTTGTCATAAGTATTCCACACTTGTGATTCATAACCATTCTCCATGGATAAGCGGGAACATTGTCGTAACTTTTGTCGGAATTATTTCCTTTGCAAATCGTGCAATCGTGATTATCACGTTATAAATATTTTCAAATTTAAGATAGCTCAAAGTTCAGTATTAAAATGTAAATTATCATCCCGACGAACGGAGCGCAAGTGGAGCGTAAATACATTTTTCATTTGTTAAATATTATAACGAACATTAAATTGCTAAACATTATTACTTCAGACAAGTATCACATAATTTTGCGTTGTCGTAGGCATCTCTGTACGTTTAAACGAGTGTATAAATATCCACAATATAGTAATTGTGGTCTACTTGAAAATCCTCAAATCGCGGTCATCGCAATACGGATGTTCGTGTAATTTTAATATTTTTCGAGCGTGATTAAATGAACGAAATTTAAACAGAAACTTGTTAATATTTAGTAAGTAAATATTTATATATTAGAGTAATATTATAGTAATACTAGAATATTAGTACACTATTATAGCAATAGTATAAAATATTAGTACAATATTATAGCAACACTAGAATATTAGTACACTATTATAGCAATACTATAAAATATTAGTACAATATTATAGCAATACTATAAAATATTAGTACAATATTATAACAATACTATAAAATATTAGTACAATATTATAGCAATACTAGAATACTAGTACAATATTATAGCAATATTAGAATATTAGTACAACATTATAGCAATACTAGAATATTATAGCAATACTAGAATATTAGTACAACATCATAGCAATACTAGAATATTAGTATAATATTATAGCAATACTATAATATTAGTACAATATTATAGCAGTACTATAATATTAGTACAATATTGTAGCAATACTAGAATATTAGTACAATATTGTTGCAATACTATAATATTGATACAATATTGTTGCAATACTATAATATTAGTACAAGTACTATAATATTGGTACAATATTACAACAGTACTATAATTGGTACAATATTATAGCAGTACTATAATATTAGTGCAATATTGTAGCAATACTAGAATATTAGTACAATACTGTAACAATACTATAATATTAGTACAATATTATAGCACTACTGGAATATTAGTACCATATTATAGCAACACTATAATATTAGTACAATATTATATCAGTACTATAATATTACTACAATATTATAGCAAAACTATAATTACTATAATATTAGTACAATATTATAGCAAAACTATAATTACTATAATATTAGTACAAAGTTATAGTAATATTATACATTATACAGTAGTACATAATATAGTAATATTATATTTTACACATTATTATTTTACAGTCAACCGGAATTTAATCGAACATTGACAGGAGTTTCAAATGAAAATTCCCTTTAGTTTCACTATCTTAAAATATTGGAAAGACAATATTGGAAATATTGGCATAATCACGCTTCCAGATAATATTTTACGCATCGTGTGCATTCTACAGATCTCTTCACCACCCCTCCCCCCCCTCCCTCTCCCGCGAAACGCATAAACATCCGCAATCTAATCGTAACCTTCCACCGTCGATCGTAAAATTCGAATTATCATAACTTCATTTTTTTTTTTTTTTTCCCCCCAGTCCAGTGGAAATAATGGGACGGCGCGATCGTAACGATTCGCCGTGGGTCAAGGCCGGCCCATGACGCAACCGTGCACAGCGGCGAACGATTCCGTGTAGAGGAGACGACAAATTGCCGCGTTATTGTCGAACGACATCTCGCCCACTTTGAACTCCGGATTCACTGCGACCTGAAAACGTAAATATCGGGGTTCGATCACGATTTCCTCCCTCCACCGCTATGGTATCGAAGCGATTGCCCGGCTTCACCGCCCTGGCCTTTATGGGCCAGATTCACTCTACAGGCTGTTTAACTCGCGCGACAGGGGAAAAAAAATCTGTTGTATGTTTGACGTTTGGGGCCGTTTGCGAAATGCTACGATCCCAATCCCATCGCCCGGTTAATCTACGATTAGTTCGAGGGTAAATCGCGATAAAAATTCCCCCTTCTCTTTTCAACGATTGCTGAGGAAAGTTAACCTCTCTTTTTTAACCGCTTGCGGACCATAACGAGCGACCGTCGCTTTCTTCTTGAACTCGTTCGGTACGATGCCGCACGGACAGAAATTATTGCAAAAGTAATAAATTTATTATTTGTTTCGTCTATTTTGTTTTACTTAAATCTATACTTAGAACTGGAGGAAATATTGCAATTTCGGAACAAACAAATTCTCGACGTGCGTGACACTAGGTTAACCACCTGCGCTGGCAACTGATTGCGGACCATAACGAGTGACCGGACCTTATACAATAATTTGTCGCTTTCCTTTTCTTTTCGGTATGATATTACTGGATAGAAATTATTAAGAAGTAATAAACTTATCATTTGTTTCATCTGGGTAATCAGGTATATCACTGGATAGAAATAATTGCAAAGTAATAAATTTATTATTTGCTTTGCCTGGGTTATACCTCGATATACTTGAAAGAATTTTTTTTCTCCCAAGTTGCAACATTTTCTCAGTCTTAAAATATAACCCAGGCGAAACAAATGATAAGTTTATTATTTCTTAATAATAGTTTCTGCATAACTTATTATGCAAAATTACTACACATTACAAAATTACAACATATTGTACCATTTTGCACGGTTCTACATCGTTCCATACAGTATAATGACATATTACATAGAATTCTATACCATACAACCACATATGTGAATATATTATAGCACACTGTACCGTATTGTACTATATTATACCATATTATAACGTAATAAGCATATTATAACCTAACAAATGGGAAAAGACACCATACAAAAGAAAATATATTTATATTATAATTTATTAATATAATTTATATCAATATTTAATTAATTATATTGATATTGATATAAATATTAATTTAATTAATTAAATATTAATATAATTTATTTATATTATTATAATTTATATAATATAAATATTATATTTATATTATAATTTATATAATGTAAATAAATGTAAATAATATAATTTATATCAATATTTAATTAATTAGATTAATATTTATATCAATATTTAATTAATTAGATTAATACTTATATTGATATTTAATTAATTATATTAATATTGATATAAATATTAATTTAATTAATAAAATATTATTATAATTTACATAATACAAATATTATATTCATATTATAATTTATATAATATAAATAAATATAAATGATATAATTTTTATCAATATTTAATTAATTATATTAATAATTATATCAATATTTAATTAATTATATTAATAATTATATCAATATTTAATTAATTATATTAATATTTATATCAATTTTTAATTAATTAAATTAATATTTATATTAATATTTAATTATTTATAGTTTCATTCTCGTTATGCTCTCTTCTATTATTAGCCTGTTGTGCTGGACGTGCCACACACGTCGAGAATTTTTTGCCCCAAATTGCAACATTTCTTCACTTTTAAGTATTTATTTAAATGTATGTATAACCCAGACGAAACAAATGATAAGTTTACTACATTTTAATAATTTCTATCCAGTAATATCATCACCGAAAAGAAAAAGAAAGCGACGAATTATCGTGTACGGCGCGGCCACTCGTTACGGTCCGCGCAACCACTTGCCAGCGCAAGAGGTTAAAGCAATCTTTCGACAGTATACCTGCGTTTGGTACTGATTGCTTGGTCGTCACTTAGTCGTTGTAGATATCTCACGTGGATAATTTCGTACAAGTTTGCACCGGAAATGTGCACGATTCCCCGCACAATATGCAAACAATTTACATATTAGGGACAGGCTAGAAGAGTCCAAGTCCAACTTATATTTTAATCTATCAATGTCGGTTTAAATTAAAAGTGTCCTCTCTAGTACATATAATTGTTCCTAAGATGTGCAAAATAGACCGAAGGCACATTCATTTAAAAAAAAAAAGAACCTACCAAAATTCCCCGAGCGGATCGTCACAGTCGCGAACGACCGAGTGAAGCGAAGCGTACCTTGAAAATATACTCTCCAGGTGCGAGTTCCGATATGTCCACCCACTGGCAATCGATGTTGTGCTTGTACACGTCGCTACAGTTCACGGAAATACCTTGGTCACCGTAGTTGGCGCATTTGTACCTGAAATCACGCGGTCGTCCGTTGCGCCGGTTAATTGGCTCGTCAATTAGAACTCGAAAGAGAAAAAAAGAAGAAGAAGAAGAAGAAGAAGAAAGAAAAGAAAAGAAAAGAAAAGAAAAACGAAACGAAGGAAAAATGATCTTCTTTTTTTGGGGAGGATGGGGAAGGGGAGGGGGCGAAACTATGCTGGCTGGGTTTGGAACCGATCGTTTCCCCTTAACGAGTCAGCTAATTGCGTTTACCTCGGCTCCACTCCGGGCAGGCATTGATTGTCCTCCAGGCAAAAGGACGCTTTGTGACCCTCCGCCAAACGTGTGCCGTTCTGGTCCAACACGTCGAACGTGGCGAACACCTCCATCGAGTGGTAATGCCTGTCGTTAACAACCGAGTAATGCGGAATTAATGATCGTGCAACGAGCCACTTTGATCGTGGGCCTTTATCGTGATGGGCGATATCAGGCGAGATAAGACGAGTGGCGGGGCTGCTGCCGTTCCGGGTGAAAATGAGCTTCGGCGAGGCACGTCGAGCACCTACCACTACGAGATCGATTTTACATACTCGGGGAGGCACGGCCGTGGTTGTTTCTCGAGGCAGATGCATATTTGATGGCGTTTTGTCGCCCGAACGGGGGAGTCAGAGTGCGGATTTTTATGTACACCGTTCCGTGGGTTGGATTTGAAGATGCTCGGTGAAAAAAAAAATATATATATATATAAAATGTTCAAAGTAGAGTATATCGTTGTAACGTTTGCTGAACTCATTTACTGTGTCCAATTGTGTTTGTAAAAGTATGGAAGCGATAAATAAATAATGTACAATAGTAACAAATAAATAGTGTGTAATAATAATATTTATGTATTATAATAAATAAATATTATATGATAATATTTATATATTATAATAAATAAATAGTATATAATAATATTTATATATAATATATAAATATTATATGATAATATTTATATATTATAATAAATAAATAGTATATAATAATATTTATATATAATATATAAATAAAATAAAAATAAAATAAAAATATATATATAAATATATAAATAAAATAAAAATAAAATAAAAATAAATAAAATAGTGAAAGCTTTGAACAAAAGTAATGAATAATATTCGTGAGGATTTTTATTATCCATTCGAGTTGGACTTACAGATGCAGAAATACATAAATCCACACGATGAAAATGTATATGAAGATGTTCAAAGTATAGTGTGTTCGTTATTTGCTGAACTCATTTACTGTGTTTGGTTGTGTTTGCAAAAGTATGAAATAAATAATATAAAATAATAAAAAATATACAATAATAAAAAATAAATAGTATGTAATAATAATATTTATATATTATAATAAATAAATAGTATATAATAACATTTATATATTATAATAAATAAATAGTATATAATATACAAATAAATAAAATAGTGAAAGCTTTGAACAAAAGTAATGAATAATATCCATGATAAAATAATGACAATACTGTTTGTGGTCTACTCATAGTTAAACTGTGGATTTCCATACAACCACGTGTGTGAAGTTTTTACAAATATAGTATGATACTTATTTTTTTTATATAGTATAATATAGTATAGTATAGTATTTTTTTATACAGTATAGCATATTATATGTAGTACAATGCTTATTTTTTATGGTATAATATAGGTATAAATATAATAAGGTGTATAGTATAAAATATATAAAGTATAATAATCACAGTTTACGTAGATCTTACTTTTTAAATTACACTTATAGAATATAAATTGAATACAATTTTTATCTCTTGATTTTAATCGATTAAAAGAAGTTAATTGCTGGTGGAATTAAAGTCAAAGATATTATATTATATAATATATAATGTAAAGATTATAGTATATAATATAAAGTTAAAGAGAAAGAAATCTTCCTTGTTTAATAATTTTAATCAATTTTCAACATTTTTTTTAAATTACTTTAATTAATTTTGTAATTCACGACATTTCGAATGATTCAGTATGAATCTCGTGTGTGTAATAAGATTCTCTTTGATTGTTGTTGTTCGTAAAATGTTGTACGATCTCCTGAAAGAGATTTCACTCTATTGGAAAAGATTTAGCGATGGATTTTGTTAAAGAAGCGTATGTTTAAGCATATTATGTTTAATACAAAGCGTATTACATTTAAGCTTATTTCGTAGAACTCAGTTCCTGGCATTGGTTTTAGTTGAACGAAAGCAGCACTAAAAGGTTCGTTACGCGTATTTATCTCTTTTCAAAAATTTCTCCAAATCGTAAATTAAGTCTCGAGTGATTTTTGCAAAGACTCGAAGAAGGGTGGTTCTTGAAAAATATAACTTCATACAAAATATACTTCAGCACTTGTTCTAACGTCAAAACGCTTTGCTTCAAATCGTCAGATTTGTTTCGTTGATTTTCTTTTTAGATTTCTCTTCGTTTCGTAGATTTTCTTCTCACCACGTGGAAAACATATAAAAATCCTGTATTATTACGTGATACGATACAGCTCACAGCACACGTTTTGATATAAATTTCTCGCATGTTCCAAGTTTCGAAAAGTTTGGAAATGTTTCTAGACGTCTTTCTTTCTTCAAATGAAATTTGTATGAATTCAGTTTGGCAGTCAAGAAAGCAGGATCGAGGCCAGAGGTAAAGTTTCGTTTTGAAACTGGCGAAGTTGAAGAGATTAATTACGATAAGAAAACGTGGCGTCTTCGGAGAAGCTGCTGAGGATCTTCTTACAACATGTTGCAACAACTGTTATTACTTGTTCCCCTTTTTCGTTTGATAGTTTCACAGAAGAAAGTTACAACTGTGTAGGTCGTTGTAATTGAAACTTTGTTTTGCAAAACATTAAACAGCTGTTTCAATTCCTCTAAACCTTTTTCTTTTGCATTTTGCTCTTGCAGATTGTTCTTGCACAAATTTTGTCGTACGTTGCAATTGGTAGTGAGAAATAAAAATTGGCAAATTGTATTAATTATTTGGAAATGAATTGAACGAATAAAATAACTGAGACTTGTTGAAATTTATATACTGATTGAGATTTAAATGTTAGGATCGAAATACTTCAATTTTCAGATTGAGAATCAAAGTCAATAAAACTCATCAATACTTTAACACTGTTAATCAACATTATTTTAATTAATCTGAACAGTAAAAAATAACTTTGCAGGAGAAATAGGTTTCCTTCTAAAATGCAGTTTATCGATTACGCTAACTTAAGTTTTTTTATAATTACGATTAATTATTATAGCAAAAAAAATTACACATCGACAGCCACATATATGAATTGCCAACTTTTGATAAATTGTGATCTTGTGATCTTGACGATATAATTTAATTATTCAATACTATATATTTAATTAATAAATACAATTATTTATACTATATATTATACTGTATTTTAACCATATATTTATACTTTATATTTTACATTTATATTTCTACTAACTTGTATACTTAATTTTAACTTTTATGTTTATATTTATATTTTAACTATATATTAATACTATATATATATTATATTATATTTTAATTATATGTTTATACTTTATATTTTATATTTATATTTCAACTAACTTATATATTTAACTTTAACTTTTATGTTTATATTTATATTTTAACTATATATTTATACTATATATATATTATATTTTAATTATATGTTTATACTTTATATTTTATATTTATATTTCAACTAATTTATATACTTAACTTTAACTTTTATATTTATATTTACATTTTAACTATATATTTATATTTTATATTTTATATTTATATTTCAACTAACTTATATACTTAACTTTAATTTTTATGTTTATATTTATATTTTATATACTATATATACTATATTTTAGCTATATATTTATACTTTATATTTTATATTTACATTTCAACTATTTATATTTATATTTTAACTATATATTTATACTTTATATTTTATATTTATATTTATATCTTAACTATATATTTATACTTTATATTTTATATTTATATTTATATTTTAACTATATATTCATACTTTATATTTATATTTATATTTTAACTGTATATAATATATATACTATATTATACTATATTTTAGCTATATATTTATTTAATAAATGCAATTGTGAACTATAAAACTAATTAATTACAAATTTCGTGAAATTTTGTCGATAATTGTTACTCACATGTGACACATGTGCCATTCCCAAAGATGTTTCGGTACCGACGGCCGAAAGTCCGCGGTGCCAGCGTTCAAAATTCTCGCGGTGAATCTCAGAAGCCTTCTGGTTTCCAGGTGCCAATTGTCCGACTCCTTTTGTATCTTGTAAGCTTGGGAAGCAACGCAGTTCTCCTCCATGGCGCACTGCAGCCAGTATAGCTGCCTGTCCTCGAGATGCGCCGTTCGCATAAGCTCGATGTGGTCGAACACTAGATCCGGCATGTCTCGCAGGCATACCACGCTGGCCACATTTTCTATCGTGCCTGCAACACGTATAATTACAATATGTATGCGCTGTGGACAATTGTAATGAGATTACAATATAGCTTCTATGTTATTTGGTGGCCGAGGAGAAATATTCTGCAGTGAAACAGTTAAAAAAAAAAAATTTCTCTGTAAACTGGAGGACATAAAAAACGATGAACTCACTATAGTTCGTGTTTCTTACACACGTATCGCAGAAATTTTGATGAAATTTGACGGTAGAAAACGAGAGATTTAATCTTTAAAGTCAGATTGGATTTTTAAGAAAGTAAAAAAAAAAACAACAACAACAACTTGAAAATATCGGGAAAAAATAAAAATTTGTTTCAAAGCAAAGTGCTTCGCTTCGAACTTCTCAGCTGGTTGGTTCCTGTGATTTTTTTTTTTTTTCTTTCTTTCCCTTTCAAACGAAACGAGCGCATTCCTTTTGTTCGACCGCGTTTCTTCCAGTGATAGTGACAAATCGGTTCGTTCCAGGGGCGATCCCTTTTACCTGGACAATCGAGAAGCCTGTCGTGCAGACAGTCGATCAAACCGTCCTCGCCGCCGTGACATTGTACGCCGCTGATGGCCACGGGTGTCCTTTGACCGCCGAAAAAGTTGGCCTGGACGGCGTCGGAGGCGTAGCCTAGGCCCAATTGCCGGCAAACCACCGCGGCCTCGAACAGGGACCAACCATCACCGCAGACTACACCCCAATCTGAAATGAAATTACGCTCGCTGACCCCCAGTGCTTCGCACCTTCTTCGATTTTCATTGCGTTTCTCTCTTTTTCCCTTCACTTTCGTTTTTACCAGGTTATTTCTCCCTTTGTTATTAATTAAAATTAATACTTATACTGATAATTAATTAATTAGACGGATATTTATATTAATATACTTAATTCATTGTGTTAATATTTATATTACAATTTATTAATGTAATTTATATCGATATTTAATTAATTACATTTATATTGATATAAATATTAATATAATTTATTTATATTATTATAATTTATATAATATAAATATTATATTTATATTATAATTTATGTAATATGAATATCATATTTATATTATAATTTATATCAATATTTAATTAATTATATTAATATTTATATCAATATTTAATTAATTAGATTAATACTTATATTGATATTTAATTATTTATGTTAATATTTATATTAATATTTAATTAATTATATTAAATATTAAATATCAATATAATTTACTTATATTATTATAATTGATATAATATAAATATTATATTTATATTT